ACCCGGAGTAATGTGAATACTGGGAGGGCGAACATCTCAGACGGCGGGGAAACTTGAGAAACCCGGAATTTCCCTGTCTAACGGAGAACGACCGACTGTGCACAAGGGATTTTCATTGGGCCATAACTAGCGATCTTAGGGGCCCAGACTATCTGAATACTAACAACACTCAGTATTACATATCTTCGGGCTTCGTCGCTATCAATATCATTTTCCCTCCCTTCCATCTCATCCTTCCATATCACCAGCTCACGATGGTACCGTGGAATTCCATAGCTCGCTACGGGCCTCACACATCGTGCTTAGAGTGTCAGCGGCACCAGGCGTATCGAGCTTCGGGATTTATCCGGTGAACCCGAACCAAAGTCGATCGGCGATTACATAGCTTTCGCTTGAGGCCGGCCTCGTCAGATTCCGAAGCTTGTTACGAGCAGCGTCGACAACTGTTCGAAAAACGCGACAACCATGGTGTCCCTCCGGTCCACCAGATAAGGGACCGACCGCGGCAACGCAACTGGTAGAGACGATAATCCCACCCCCAAAGAATGAAACACCAGATACGATCTTCGCGTACCATCTTGCACCATTGTCCCTAAACTATCCACCGGAGATCCCAGTTCCGACCTGGGACTCCATCCCCACTTTCCTAAAATCCTTGGCACACCCCCTTTTCGCACTTCCAGGCCCCCATCCCACTCTGATCAGGAAGTCGCGCTGGGCGTGAGGTTGGGCGTCACAACCCCGCTTAGCTCGAGTACACACGTCGGGTTTGCTTGTGCTCCACTGTCCGTCGTGGCTGCACGTCAACCCAACACACTCACAACCAGCACGTCAGATCGCCCAACTCCTAACTCACCTCTTCGCCGGTTCCTGCTTGTTAGCCGATCCTCTTGACCGCACCAACCTTCACAAGTTTGATTAGAGAAGATTTTATCGCGCTTGCAAAATTTATAGCTATTAGCATCTGCACGAGAGAGTCGGGATTACGCTGAGGCAGGGGGAGAGAAGAAAGAAGGGAGTGTCTGCAGTCGACATGCTTGAGCCTCGGCATGAGGGACGTAGCCACTCTCTACGCATTGATCCAATCATGCGTTGTGGTGGCGAATGAGATGAAGGGAGAGGGGCTGCGTGTTTTGGCGCGATGAGAATGCAAGAGCGAGAAGATTACAATTACAACCGCACTCATAGAGGGAGGAACAAGAAGGGATTACCGTTCAGATTAGAATTAAGGCGCGACGGAGTAGAGTGGGGGACGGGGTGTAGCAGAACACGCGCGAATAAGGAGCATCATGCAGTTACCAAAAAGAAAATACGACAACCCCAAGATCCTAATCTAATTAAAATCCTAATTCCCATCGCTCCCGTATTTTCCCCAGCATTCAAAATTCAAATAGATTTTCCCGTGTGATGACCACGCCGAAGTTTCTTTCCTCGTTTGCAACAGAAAATGGAAGAGGTCGCGTCAACCGTTATTTTTGCGCTCGCTAAGGCGTGTCCTAACTGGCAACCGCCATGAGACCAAGTTGTCACAGAACAAGATTAAAAAAAAGAGGCGAAGAGTGAGGACACTTGTGTAATTGGATCATGCCCCTCCGCCCAACCCCCAAAGTGCAATCACGCAGAAAGTCGCATTGATTAGAGTTAGTTCGTCACAAGAGAAGGAGGATAGGGGAAAAGGAGGCAAGAAGGACAGTGACAAGGACCTGGAGAAAGGACAAGAGGAGTTGGGAGGAGGAAATTCCCCTGGAGAGAAAAGCAAAGGAGGAGGGAAAAGAGGGAAGGAAGAGAAGGAAGGGAAAAAAAGGGAAAAAAAAAGGGGAAAGGAGAGATAGGGGAAAGGGAAAGATGCAGATGCAGATCCCAAGATCATCCCACTTAAGGATCCGGAGAAGGATGTTGGACCAGGGGAAGAGGGACCCCCCCGAATTGAAGTGGTTAATGGGAAATAATGAATTACCGATGACGAAATGGGGCCCCATTCAGACACTTTGGGGGAACAAATGGAGGAAGARCGCATCCTCCCTGGATGTGAGAAACGAAAACGAGATAAGAGGGAAGAGGACTTGGACAAAGAGAACATCAAATTTCGTAGTAGAGAGAAACGAGTTGGTGTTGCAGAACGGAGGCGCCCCCCCTTCGGGGCAAGGTTGTTCCTCCCCCGTCTCCAACAGAAAAAAACTTGTGTTGCTATTCAGGTCCGAGCAACGTTTATAAGGTTGAAGCAACATTTCCGGAAACGTTTCTGCCAAAAGCAACAGTGCATTGCATGAGCAACTGTTGTCCAACGTTGTTGGTTGACGTTAATGTTGGTCACGTCATTCGTGACATTGAAGGTCCTCGCCCGGGTGAGCGGCGCACCCGGGGTATCGATGGCGAGGCGCAACCATGCGTGGCCTAGCGGGACGCAGCGTCGCAGGCCAGCGGGACGCGCGACCCCTAGTCCCTTTACTTCTTATGTGTTACCTCGCATTTATATTTATTTTATTATTATTATTATTATTTTATAATATTTATTATTATTATTATTCCTGCTTTTATTTTTATTGATGTCTTTGACTTGGTAATCGGTTTCGAGACCGGCGTCGGGCTCCGCGGCCTGACTTGGCTACTACTTTGTCGGACGCGAGAGGCCATTACAGCAGTCGAGGATCTTGAGCACACACTTTATTTTTATTTTAACAGGCCCATCAGAATTTCTGCATGTTCGAGATGCTGGCGAATTCCTTTGCCTTGCCTGCCTTGAAAAACGCAGGCCGGGGAGTTCGACATGCATGCGAGCCGAAGGGTAATTAGCCCACGAGACAGAAAGAAACTAGGGTGGTGGGACTCTCTGTGGGCGCACAGTCCGCCACCCACCATCCGCTGTGAGAGGTTTGAGTGTGAGTATGCCCGTCGGGGCCCGCAAGGTGGTGAACTATGCCTGGGCGGGGCCAAGGGGCAACGGTAGAAGGTTGCAGCAGTGCTGGCTGCGCGGCCCAAGTTGTCCCAGCAGCAGGCCACTTCGGCTTGCAAAAGTTCTCATTTGAATATATGCTACTACCACCAAGATCTGCACCAAGACCCGCCCCACCTGGGCCCGTGCTGCAGGTTCCGCAGCAGGCCCTGCGCCCTTCTACTCGTTGCAGTGTAGGGGCAGCCGCTACGGTCGAGCGTAGGCCGTGCGCTGCAGCACCATCCCTTTCGGGACTGGTTAGTTTCAACAAGTGAGTTGTTTACTCACCCCTTAGCGGATTTCGACTTCAGTGACCTGTCTCCTCCTGTCTATACCGAACCGTGCATCTTCGCAGTGTCTGGATTAGAGCACAGTGGCACCAAACAGAGAGAGGAAAAAGATGGATGAACCGGGACGGGGTCTGACGCAGGGTGCATACGGGTCNGGTCGCAGTGTCTGGATTAGAGCACAGTGGCACCAAACAGAGAGAGGAAAAAGATGGATGAACCGGGACGGGGTCTGACGCAGGGTGCATACGGGGCGACGAAGAAGGCAGGAACGAGGGGAAGTAGATATGGCGGGAGTGAAATTTATATAGCCCGCCCATTCCTTGATGGAATCAGGCGGGGAAAGATTGTAGATAGCGGTTTTGGCATAGGGCGAGATCAATGGTGGTGTTAGTTTAGTCAATGGAGTCTTGCCTTAGAAGATAGGCTGAAATGAGGGTGCGCGGAGGTGAACGAATGAGTGAGTATGGAGGAGTCAAAAGTGAATAGTTCGCCCGATTCTTAACAGAATCGGGCGAACCAAGACTCTATTCTGGGGTTTTTGGACCCTGCGAGTCGATTGGTGGAGTTGGATTTGGGAAAGGAAGGTTAGTTCTTATGCTATGAAGGAGTGGAGCTGCGCGAAATGAGGGGGATAAGCGAGTAAAAACGATGAACCTTTCCAAAATTAGCGGAAGACTCGCTCTCTTTTTGCATGCCTGGTAGGTAGCGGCGGCCCAGTGCAGCTCTTTGTGGCGATCATTGAGATTTCACTGCCTATTTCGCTCCGCCTGGTTGCTGCCTCTGCGGTTATAACGATTATAATCAGCCTGGTAATGATCGATGCTCGGATTTGCCGCCATTGGATCTGACTGAATTCATCTCCGTACTTGGTTGATCGGGGCTTCTACTAAGCTCGTCGTAATCACCTCCAACGAATTAGATTTTCCTCCTCATCGGAGCTACGGACTGGCAACTTTGTCAGTGTATATCTCCGCGACGGAAAATTCATTCCGATTTGCCCTTCCTATCAATGGAAGTAGCCTCCTCCTATCTCATCGGGCGCACAACCGGGAAGCAGTGTGTATTCCCGTTCTAACAGAAGATCCGCTTTCATTTGGGCTCAGACTCTCTGTCATACAAAAAAAAAAACAAAAAAACAAAAAAAAAAACTGAGAGTGTGGCAGTGTATATTTTCATGGTCCAGCGGTAGATTCTTTCGATTTTGCTCATCCCATTGATGGAAGTACCATGAGGCCAGCCTACCTGTTCTCTCTCTCTCTCTCTCTCTCTCTCTCACACACACACACACACACACACACACACTCCAAGTATTTTCAGACCTTTGAGAGGGTAGGGTCGGTGCCTGCTTGCTGGAGTAGTCTTCTGTCTTAGGTAAGTTGCCTTCTGCCCTCCATCCCCTTACTGTTTGAAATAGATATGTACACATATGTATTATGTGCAAGTGTGCCGCGTTGGCGGCAGACGGGTGTGTGGGCACTTGGCCCTGAACCACACAAACGTGGCCAACCTTGCATTTTCTATTATATTGCCTATGTATACCTTTTCGTTATGGATGGCTTGTGATGATCTGTGAAGGGAATGAGAGAGGGAAGCTGGGGTCTTTCAAAACAGCACACACACAGAAAAGAAAAAAAAAGAGAAAAAAAACGAAAACGGTGGCAGTGTATATTTCCATGTTCTGGCTGAAGATTCATTCCGATTTTGCTCATCCTACACACACACACACTGACGGACATTGCCACGCTTAGATCGGTGGACAGAGGTGGACAGATGGGCCGGCATACGTGCAGAGGTGTCATTGGTGGATCAGCGGAGAGGCAAGCCTGCATGAGTGTGCCGTCGCCCGTCTCTCTCTCTCTCTCTCTCTCTCTCTCTCTCTCTCGCTCTCGCTCTCTCTCGCTCTCTCTCTCTCTTTCTCTCTCTCTCTCTCTCTCTCTCTCTCGGCTAGCCACGTGGCATGCCTTTTTTCTTTTTTAATTCGTAGGAGATGGCTATGGCGGGATCTTTGTCACTTTGTTTGGAGGAGGAGCGGGAGGAGGAGCGGGCGGAGGAGCGGGAGGAGTGGGAAAAGGAGGACCGGGAGGAGGAGCGGGAGAAGGAGTGGGAAGGGAAACGGGAAGGGGAGGAGGAGGAGCGGGAGGAGGAGCAGGAGGAGCAACAGGAGGGAGAGTGGGAGGAGGAGCGGGAGGAGTGGCGGGAGGAGGAGTGGGAGGAGCGGGAGGAGAGGCGGCAGATTCTACGTGAAGCCAGATATGGCACGTATGACGCATTTCGGACTTTAGAGCAGACGGGTTCAAGCAAAGACAAGTAGGGAGGATGGAAAGGATGAAAGGTGAGGAGAAAGTCATGGAGTGCTGTAAATGCAACCACCAGCTAAAGTGGGCCTGTGTTATTGGGCAATGCCACTCTCCTCCTCTCTTCCACGTGGGGCCCCATCATCAAGTTCAAGAAACCTACCCGTGAGAGCAAATGATGCTTGCGAAGGAGCTGGTGATACCATACAATAGGTGAGGAAGAGGATGCGGTTGAAAAAGATGGCAGCGGTCTTGACGAAGGTTGTGTTTAGGGCAAAAGTAAAGAGAAGAGCAAGAAGGATTGTGAAGATTCTGGGGACAAGCACAGTCATGGTCAAGGAAAAAGCGAAGAAATGGGGGGAAGAGGATAACGGGAAATCAGCAGATATAGATGGGAAAAGTGAAGGCAAAATGAAAAATTGGGAGATAATCACGAATCCAATCACAAGATGAGTGAAGAGAAGAGAGCAGAAGATCTTGGAAAATTTGGCACTATAGACGACAATGATCCGAATAATGATATGTATGTGTTTAGATGTTTTTCATTCATTCATTCACTTGCAAGATCTCGTGCAGAGCATGGAGCTCTCATCTATGGTCATGTGTATGTCTGAGGAGTGAGTCCCTCCTCATCTAGCTGAATATCTTTATAGTTTTTTTTTTTTTTTTTTTAAGTTGAATATATGCTAATCTAACCTATTCTTCCAATTGAAGATGCAGAGCGGGAAACCATTGTCATCAGCCACGTATTGGGCTTGGGGCATGTCCCTCCTCTGCCATGCAGGCATGGCACCACCTCTCTCTCTCTCTCTCTCTCTCTCTCTCTCTCTCTCTCTCTCTCTCTCTCTCTCTCTCTCTCTGTGTGTGTGTGTGGGGGGGGGGGGGGGGGGGGGGGATTTTCCACTCCCACCATTCCTTCGGTCTTTGTCCATCTGCACCCCTGTTGTCTACGTTCGTTTCTTTCATTACTGTGCACAACTTTATGCTCTTCTGTGAAATGTGAACATGATCTTGTTGTGATGCAGATATAGGTGGTGCAACTGCTGTTTGTTGTTGCATCGGGAGTTGTATGTGGTGGGCAGCATCATCGCCATGAAGCTGATTGCTACTCTTGCCATAGCACGCCGCCTGTTCTCTTAAAAAAAAAAAAAAAAAGCGATGTCACCCTGTTAACTGCAACGGGTCGCGTCCTCCACCTCCTCCTACTCCTTTTCCATTCCTCCTCCTCCATCTCTCGTCCTCCTCCTCCATCTCTCGTCCTCCTCCTCCTCGTCCTCCTCCTCGTCGACTGTTCCGCCATCTCCTCAATTCTCGCCGCCGCCTCCTCCATCTTTCTTGTCCTCCTCCTACTACCTGGTCCTCCTCATCACCTCCTCCTCCAACATCTCTCGTTTTCATCTTTTTTTTTATCAGTTTTGCTGCTTCCGCTCCAGTTGGGAAGGAAAAAAACATAAATAAAGAAAAAAAAACGAAAAAAAAAGAAAGGAACACAAAGACATGGCGGACAGGGCTTGGCAAGTGAGAGTTCCCACTAGCAAAGGGGATTGGATTTGACGCAAGTAAAGTGGATGATGATGTGCAGCACTTGCTTCCTGCTGTGCCGTTGTGTTTGTTGTCCTTGTTTGTGGATGATGATGCGCAGCACTTGCTTCCTGATGTGCTGTTGTGTCTGCTCTCCTTGCTGGTGGATGTCTGAAGCTCAGTTCTTTAAGCTGAAGTCACCAGAAATGAGAAGTGCTTAACAGAGCCCTAAAATTCCAGCATTTTTCATGGTGTTTGTGACAATTTCCCCCAACTTTTGAACCAAACTTGTCAGATTGGACCACACAAAAAAAAAAGTTGGTGTTTGTGACAAATTTCCCCCAACTTTTGAACCAAACTTGTCAGCATTACATCGATTGGACCACCAAAAAAAAAAAACCTGCAGTCACCTGCAGAATCACAGACCGAGAACTCTGCTGTTTTTTTGAGTTCTGGCGCTGAAATGTGTGCCTTGCTGAGACTCTCGCTTTTTGCTCATATTTCTAAGTCTGTGTGTTTGCGTGCTTGCTGATTTCCCATGTGCTTGGCTGAGTGCATGATTGCTTGGGTGTGTGTGTGACCCGCCAGGGTACTTGTATGCTTGGAAGGCCCTCGGGCCTGGAACTACCTATGGCCGTGCCTCTGTGGGTTGCAGTGGGGTATAGGGGTAGGCTAGGCCTGCGTACTTGGAAAAACACTCAAGTAGCGGGTAGGTTAGGGATGCATATGCTTGAGAGAGAGAGAGAGAGAGAGAGAGAGAGAGAGAGAGAGAGAGAGAGAGAGAGAGAGACGTTGTAAAGGTGGTCATGCTATCCACACATTTGCAGTAGTGAACAGGACGGGAGCATGACCACCTTTACGATGTCTATTCCTCCTCTCAATGACACATAAGCACACACACACACACACACACACACACACACACACACACACACACACACTCATACACAGACACATGCACACACACACACACACAGTGATACAGACATGTCGTAAAGGTGGTCATGCTCTCCACACTTTTGTGGTGGCGAACGGAAAGAGAGCATGACCACCTTTACGACGTTTATTCCTCCTCGACACTCTTACAATTATGTAGGAGAAAAAAGAATACCCACCTTAACGACACACTATTTTAGTCTATTTCTCACACACACATACACACACATGAAGAGAGAGAGAGAGAGAGAGAGAGAGAGAGAGAGAGAGAGAGAGAGAGAGAGAGAGAGAGAGAGAGAGAGATGTTATAAAGGTGGTTATGCTCTCGACACTTTTACGGTATTGTATGGGAGCATAACCACCTTCACAATGGACTATTCCACACACACACACACACACACACACACACACACACACACACACACAGGGAGAATCAGAGAGAGAGAGGGAGTTGTTGAAACAATGATTATGCTCTCAACACCTTTGCGGTGGCGAACGGGAAGGGAGCATGACCTCCTTAACGACGTCTATTCCTCCTCTAAATGACGCGCACACACACACACACACACACACACACACACATGTCGTAAAGGTGGTCATACTCTCGACACTTATGCTGTGGCGAATGGGAAGGGAGCATGACCACCTTAACTACGTTTATTCCTCCTTTCAATATCTGTGTGTGTTTGTCTGTGTGTGTGTGAGAGGGAGAGAGAGTGAGAGAGAGAGAGAGACGTATCGTAAAGGTGGTCATGCTCTCAACACTTTTGTGTCGGCAAACGGGAAGGGAGCATGACCACCTTTACGACGTTTATTCCTCCTCTTACTCTGTGTGTGTGTGTGTGTGTGTGTGTGTGTGTGTGTGTGTGTGTG